TCCGTCCGTGTTTTTGGATTAAAACTCCAATTTTGAGGTGTATTTTCATATAGTTTTTATGGTTATATTCTCGTTTTCGTAGTCACATTTGATAGAATGGAAAACATATTATAGAAATGGAGGTGATTTTGATTGGTTTCACTATGAAAAGGACCTTGAAATGGAGTTCAAAGTAGGGGAAATGTTTGATTTTTGCCGATGTTCAAGAGTAAACAAATGACATCATTGTCCAATAAATGTCCAACTAGCCATTCTAATATGCAGTCATGAATGGGTTGACATTATTTATACAATTATTACAATATTGCAGAAGTCTGCATAACAGTAAATCTCCTATTTTTTGTTTGAATAAAAATTCAAAATAGAAAGCAAGAGTAATATCAGAGGGGCCTGGAGGTGTGACTGATGAACAAAGAAAATGTTATTTTAGAACCAGGAATGTCTGCATTGTTCATTTTGGATGATATTTTGAAATTGGCATATTTTTTAATTTGCATGAAATTGGCCAAATTGCCAATTTCTGACCACTTTACTGGGTAGTTGAAATTAGTAAATGGGCAGCTTCTTGTACTCAGTAAATAGAACAAATGGAGTTCTAAAGAAATAGCTATGAGTTTGGTTGACTTGAATAATGGAATTAGCCGAAAATAGGGCTGAAATTGGGCGAAATTGCCGATTCGTAAATAGCGCCGAGGTTGCTAACTTTGTGAAAGCGTAATTCCATAAGTTTTCCATCAAATTTCGTACTTTTGGTGTCATTACCATCGGGAAAAGATTCCCTATCATTTCACAAGAAAAAATAAATTTTTTTTTTCAAATATTTTGCGACAACAGGAGACCCCTCAGGATTTAGGGTTACGACAATCAAAGGGTTAATTTAGGGAATTGGAGCACAGATCTTATTCCCTAGAGCAAGAGCCCCTCACCAGCATCAAGGAACCTCCCTTGAGGGGATGTTAACCCAAAGAAATTGACAATGACAAGTTTATTTTAGCATGATACATGTTTGTACATAGGCATGTAACATAACAATTTGGTGAACATACCAAAAGCCCCTTTATATGCAGAGCATTTTGGGCAAACTTAAGACTAATTTAAGATTAATAAGACAATAACAGTGCAGTAATTTTACATATGGTCATTCGGTGAGTTACAATAAATACAAGAAAATTGAATATTCAACTAGTTCACGCTATATGCCTTTAGTAAGTTCAGCAGAGAATGATTACAATTTTGATATAGTTTATAAAAAATACAATATTACAATTTAGTACAAATTAAAAACAATGAAGTTGAAAGAATAGTAAGTTTGAAGTAACGATTAAATAGTTGAGGAATCATCAAGCACAGTTTACAATATGAAGTATTACAGTTTAGCACAATTTAACCCTTTGACTGTTTTGGCCGTATATATATGTCTCACGAGCAAGTGTTTCAGACGTATATATACTCAATAATTCTAGCGGCTTCAAATCAAGCAGAAGAAAGCTGGTAGGCCCACATGTGAGAGAATGGGTCTGTGTGGTCAGTGTGCACCACATAAAAAAAATCCTGCAGCACAGAGTGCGTAATGAGAAAAAAAAAACTCTGATCGTTTTTTTGGATTAAAACGCCGACTTTGAGGTGTATTTTCGTATAGTATTTATCGATGTATTTGCATTTTCATGGTCTTAGGTGATAAAATGGAAAACATATTACAGAAATAGAGATGACTTTTATTACTTTGACGATGAAAACGACCTTGAAACTGAGCTCAAAGTAGCGGAAATGTTCGATTTTTACCAATGTTCAAAAGTAAACAAATCACACCACACGTCCAATACACGTCAACTGGGGAGTCTAATATTCTTTCACTAGTGCATTGATATTATTTATACCATTTTTACAATAATGCAGTAGTCTGCATAACAGTAAATTTTGTATTTTTTTGTATGAATAAAAAATCAATATAGAAAGCAATAATAATATAAGAGGGGCCTAGAGATGTGACTAATGAACAGAGGATATGTTATTTTAGTGCCAAGAATGTCTACCTTGTTTATTCTGGACCCTATTTTGAAATTGGCATCTTTTTTAGTTTGTGTGAAATTGGCCAAATTGCCAATTTCTGACCACAATATTGGGTAGTCCAAATTGGGAAGTGGGAGGTTTCTTGTACTCAGCTGATAGATAAAATGGAGTTCTAAAGAATTAGCTATGAGTTTGGTCAACTGGAACAACGGAATTGGCTGAAAATAGGGCTCAAAGTCGGCGAAATCGCCGATACGCATATGTCGCCAAAACCGCTAACTTCGCGGGAGCGTAATTCCATGAGTTTTCGACCAAATTTCGAACTTTTGGTGTCATTACCATTGGGAAAAGATTCTCTATCATTTCATAAGAAAAAATAAATTTTTTTTTTTTTCAAAAATTTAGGGACATAGAATGACAGTTTCAGAAAGGTGCCTGAAACAGTTAAAGGGTTAATACAATGAAACTGAAAACATTTATGAGTCTGAAGTAATAAGTAAATGGTTGAGCAATCATCAAGCACAATATACAATAATGAAATTGAAACAATTTTAAGTTTGAAGTAAATGATCAAGTAGTTGAGCAGTCTTAAATTATTTGGGAGTGTTTTTGAGTAACTTTTGAGTAACTGCTAGGTACCAAGTAAGTAAAGTGTTTGTCTGGTTAATTTTGAGTGATGAGACGATTTCTAAGTAGGGCCTTAAATTGATTTACAGACAGGGGTTCTTTAGTGTGTTCTGGCAATGAATCCAGATCTTCGGGCCTTTTATGTTTACCTGGAGTTTACCTGGAGAGAGTTCCGGGGGTCAACGCCCCCGCGGCCCGGTCTGTGACCAGGCCTCCTGGTGGATCAGCGCCTGATCAACCAGGCATAGCATTTTTGCATAGGGAGAGATGGACACGAGGGATACTGAAGAGTGATATCTTCTATTGTGGTTGTGTGTCACATTGTTGTTATTAAGGAGTAGTTTGAGAGGAGGGTTTATATTTGAGTATCGTGTTTTGTGTGTGTGTAGTAGGCACAATAATAAGTGTGGATGTTTTGTATATTAAGCAAGTTAAGACTCTTAAAAAGTGGTGGAGTGTGCTGTCTAGTGCAAGAGTTGGTAATCAATTGCACTTCAGCTTTTTGCTGGGTTATTAAATGTTTAAGGTGATTTGCTGTGGTTAAGCCCCATGCACAAATACCATAGGTGAGGTACGGGTAAATGAAAGAGTGGTAAAGAGCAAGAAGAGCTGATTGGGGTACATAGTACCATATCTCTGAAAGGATACCTACTGTTTTGGAGACTATCTTGGATATTTGCTGTATGTGTGTCTGGAATCTGAGACTGTAGTCAAGGTGGAGACCTAAAAATTTGCCCTGTCTGTCTGCCTTGAAATGGGTGAACCATTTATCAATATGTTTAGCTGTACATTTGAAGCTCTGTTTCCAAATAGCTTGAAGTAGGTTTTGTCTATATTGAAAGTAAGTTTGTTGGTAGTCATCCAAGTAGATACTTTTAGCAATTCAGCATTTACTGTGTCTGTTAGTACGGTTGGGTTTGGGTGAGAAAAGACATAAATTGTGTCATCTGCAAATAAAATGGGTTTAAGGAGTTTAGTTTCATTTGGAAGGTCACTGATGTAAATGAGAAAGAGAAGTGGGATAAGGACACCCTTGTGGGACTCCAACAAGAACAGGTTGTGTAGTGGAGTTAGCACCATTTGTGTATACATACTGTGTTCTATTGCTAAGATAAGAGTTTAGGTAATCGAGAGAGTGCCCTCTGACCCCATATTGTTTGAGTTTTAGGTGTAATAGGTTATGGTCAACTGTATTAAAAGTTTTTTAAGTCTGTGAAAAGTCCCAGGGGAATTTCATTTTTTCTGAGTGCCAAATACATTAGTTTAAGCATATGTATAATTGCATGGTTAGTACTCTTTTTCGATCTGAATCCAAACTGACAGGGGTTAAGTATGTTGTGGGATACTAAATAGGAGTAGACTTGTTTGTGAATTAATTTTTCAAAGATTTTAGATAGTAGGGGCAAGTTTGATATAGGCCTATAGTTGTTCAATTCAGTTGGATCACCTCCTTTGAAGATCGGGGTGACTCTTGCTGTCTTGAGTATGGATGGAAAGTGAAAGATTCAATGGATTTGTTAATAAGAGCTGCAATAATTGGTGACAACACATGAGAAGCTTTTTTATACATGAGTGTTGGTAAGTTATTTAGGTCTCCTGTCTTGTTCTTTAGTGTTCTGATGATGGACAAGATTTCAGTAGTGTTTGCTGGGGCTAGAAATAGAGTATTTGGGTAGTTACCAGTGAGATAGTCTTTTAGTTGTATGTTTGAGCTTGGAAATTTTTTTTGCAGGGGCCCGTGGCCTGGCTGGCAAAGCTCTTGCTTCACATGCGGAGGGTCCGGGTTTGATTCCCGATGGGGTGGAAACATTTTGACATATTTCTTCGCACCTGTTGTCATGTTCACCTAGCAGCAAATAGGTACCCAGGTGTTAGTCGACTGGTGTGGGTCGCATCCTGGGGGAAAAGACTGAGGACCCCAATGAAAATAGGACACAGTCCTCGATGACGCACTGACTTTCTTGGATTATCCTTGGTGGCTAACCCTCCGGGGTTAAAAATCCGTACAAAATCTTATCTTCCTACGGTCGAGAAAAAGATTAAGTTTGTTGGCAGTATCTGTTAATTGAAGGAGAGATTCTTCTGGTGTCGTTAAGTTAATCTCTCTGTTTTGTGACAACTTTTTAGTTCCTAGAATTTCAGATAAGGTTTTCCAGGTCATTTTCATATTTCCTTTTGTCATGAAATTTGTTTTCGTAATAGTTTTTTTGACCTCCTTATTAGATTATCCTCTTCCCAACACCACAGCTTCTCTCTCAGCTCAACATATATTACATTACTTAACAAAATAGTAAGTGATGCCAGAATAAAGTACCAAGGTGATGAAAGTTACAAAACAGTGACAAAAAGGCACAGTAAAGTACTTGAGTGGTGAGAGATGGCGAAATCCTTTCTCTTCTTGTTAGTGTTTATAGGGCCACTGAGAGTGTAGGTCGTATTGAACCCTGTCCTCCAGTGTCCGGACAACACCAAGGTCGTACGAAATAGTAAGACTATTTATTTATTTGGACATGATTATAGTTGTCAAAACAAAATTTTATTTTTTTGCAAAGCTTACAATATGGGTTTAAATTTTTAAAAAAATATTATTTACAAAGAAGGGCATAGCATCCCTAGGCACACAGGACAATACTAATTCTTACTCTATATTTTTTTTTTTTATTTATTTATTTTTTATTTATTTCCAATTTGTGCACACATCAGAGGTAAAAAAAAAAAAGAAAAGAGCGTATGCCAAAGCCACTTATATATGCATGCATTACGGGCTGGCTTAAAAATTTTAATTTAAAATTTAACAAGAAATTGATTATTTTATTATTATAATCAAAAAAAGGCTAAGCCACAAGGACTAACACGCTGTACAAGCAATGATAAATCGTGATAAAACATTAATGTAAACAGAAAAACTAAAAGCACAAGTGAGAAATTAAAAGACAGGTCATATGGTTGCATTCATTGGGTAGGATACTGTTGGGTAGGTATTTTAAAAAAAATAATAAAGTTAATTTGGGGGTTTTGGGTTTTAACTTTTAGTGTTTAAAATTGTGAGAAACATTTAAGATATACAATTTTAATTTTCATTATTCGTATTTTTTTTTTTTTTGGGTAGTAATAATTTTTAAAAGGACTTAAATTTTTATAAACAGGTTGTGTTTTTTTTTTATTTACGGGAATGAATTCCAGATTTTAGGGCCTTTTAGGCATGGTTTTTGCATGTGTGAGAGGGAACGGGAACATCAAGAGTGATCTGTCCTTGTTTTATGGTCATGTTTTTGTTGAGGTGGAAAGGGAATGTTTGAGGGGAGGGTTAATTCAGATTTAAGTGTTCTATGATGTAATAGGGCAGTAATAAGTATGGATGTTTTGTATGGGGGAGTGGGTTTAGTGTATTAAATTTTGTGGAGTGTGTGCCGTATGAGAATTTGTTATAAACTAACTGCAGCCTTTTTTTTTGGGTAATTAGTGGTCTGAAGGTTTAATTGTTGTTGAGCCCATGCAAAAAATTCCAAGGTGAGATGGGGGTAAATAAAAGAGTGATATAGGGCCAGGAGGGTGACTGGGAAAATAGACCGACTTCGTGGTTCCCTCATTTGGGGAAATTTTTTAGAAATTTATGTATATGTGTATAAAAATTTTGAGTCTATTATCAAGGTGGATTCCTAAGAATTTTCCCTTGTTAGTTTTGTGATAGGTGTCCATTTATCATTATGTTAAGAGGGACATCTGTAGCTTGTTCCCAAACTAAATAAGTAGGTTTTTCAATGTTTAGTGTAATTTGTTATCCTCATCCGGAGATTTTTCGGGAAATCGGTTTTACTTTTGGGCTAGCGTGACGGGGCTGGGTGAGAGAAAGTATGTAGTGTCATCTGCAAAATTTGGGGGGTTTGAGTAATTGTGAGCATTTGGAAGGTCTTTATGTATAGGGAAGAGAAGGGGGCCAAGGACATTCCCCTGGGGCCCCAACTGTAATTGGTTGTGCAGAAGGTTTGCCCCTTTTTGCGTACCAAATTGGTTCTGTTGCTGAGGTAAGATTGAGGTATTTGGGGGAGTGCCCTCTTATCCATATTTTGAAAATTTTAGTGGAGAATCATGGTAATGTTCAAAAGCTTTACGTAAGTCAATGAAACCCAGGGGGATTTTTTTTTTATTGAAAGTGTATATATTTTAGCATGTGTTAATAGCACAAGTATTTTTATTAGGCCTGAACCCAAATTGGCGGGGGTTTTGAGTATTTTTTTTGGGAGTAAGGTAGGAGTGATTCGTTTAAAATTTTAATTTTTTCGAAGATTTTTGAGGGGGGTAAAAGTTGGATATTGGTATAGTTATTAATCGTTTGGTCTCCTCTTTGTGGATCGGGGTGCCCCCTTGCTATTTTGAGTACTGTAGGGAAGGTGGAGGATTCAATGGATTTGTTAAAGAGTTTTGCAAGATTGTGATAGCACTTGTGAAATTTTTTGTAATAAGGGGTGGTAAGGTTTAAAAATCTCCTCCTTTTTTTTTTAGTGCGTTTGATAATAAGGGAGACTTCGTGGGGTTAGGGGGAGCTAGGAACATTGTGTTCGGGGTAGTTCCCGGTGGGGGTAGTCATTTGGTGGGGTATCTGGTTTGGGATTTTTTTGGCAAAGGTTTTGTCCCATGTGGAGGGGAAATCATTGAGTCGTTTTCTGTTTTTTTTGGTGGGAGTTGGGGTTCATCTATTTTTGCTAATTTTATTTCGTATTTGTGATTCTTTTTTTTTCCCAGAATTTCTGATAGGGTTTTCCAGTCTTTTTTATTCCCGTAAGTTGGGTAATTGTTTTCAAATACAATTTTTTGCCCTTCTTATCAGGTGGTTTTGGGTTCGATAACGTTTTGTTTGGTCTTGGTTAGTGACCCATTCTGTCTGTTTTTCATATTGGTGTTTTGTATTTTTTGGATTTGAGAAAGCTGGGGGGTTTCCAGGGACTGTTCGTCTCTTTGCTGTAAACTGTTTGTTTTTTTTTGGGGAGTGCTTGTTTTAGAGTATTGGGTTTTTTTTAGAAAATTTTAATACATTTGTCAAAATCTGTATAGGTTTCAGCCGTGTTTCCAGTCAATGTTTGCTTTGTGTTGGAATTATTTTGCTGCCTCATTTTTTGGAAGTCGAAAAGGGGACTTTGAGTGTTTGGGGTATTTACCAAAAGTTGTTATGAGGAAAGTAGGGAGTGGTCTGGTATTTCTGTAATTATGCCTGTTTTAAGGGGGAAAGGGGTTTTGGGCCAATGTGGTCAAGTAGGGGGAAAAACTAGTCTCCCGTAAAAATCTTGTAGGGTTTTTTTACTGTTTGGGGTTAAAATACAGTTTTCCATTGTGTTTGTGAATTCATAACGTGTGGGTCCTGGTTCTTGCAGGAGATTTATATTGAAGCACCTGAGGTATAAGTGATCTTTGTTCATGGTGCATCGTTATCATCTTCCTAGATTTTTACTAAATTGGTAATGTTTGCTGTGGGAAATCTGTAGATGTTTATCAATGTGAGAGGGTTTTTTTAGGTACTTTGATTTGAATTTTGCTATTAATTTCCCCCTGTTCATCCCTTGTGCAAGTATTAGTGAACATTCTGTTGGCTGAGTAGTATATGGCTGTGCCACCCCCCCTTTTTGATCTGGCCTACAGTTGTGTAGGGTGTGTAACCAGGAATGGCTAGACATCTGTACTTAGGCTTAGCCAGGTTTCAGTTAGTGTAATGTGGACATATTGGAGAAGGAATTTAGTAAATTTTCTATGAGGTCATCGTTTAATGCTTGCTTTAAAAAAACTGATATTGTAGTTAAATATAGTTATGTGTTGTTGGGATGAGGAAATGCCTTTGATTGTTCGCATGTAGTAATTACAGTTACGTTTGTTCATTTAAGTCATTAAATAAGAGGTTGGTATCGGATCAATTTTTGTAAAATAAGATTTGTAGTGAATCTATAGTTTAATTAAGTAAAAACAAAGTAAATAGTCTTAAGTAAAAAAAAAGCACCTGGATTTTAACAAAATTTAAAAATGGTAAGGGACAATACAAAAAAAAGAGAATCAAATGTGGAGCCTGGGGAAATGTTTGTAGGTAGACTTTAAAAAGGGAATTTTTTTTAAATTAGAATTATAGTATAAAATTTTTAAAAATAAAAGGGACTAATATAGGTTTTGGGGGACCAATAAAGTGGTAATCAAAAAAAAAGAGCTTTGAATATAATGGCAAAATTGTGAACTTTTCTACTTTAGCACCTAAGAAAGCCCTTTATTTTTAAAAAATTTGAAAATTTTTAAACTGGGTAGTTATAAAGCAAAAAAAAAGGGGGGGAAAACATATAAAAAGGGTAAAATTAAGTAATGGTAACAAAGTTAAATGGACAGATGGGAGGATTTTAATATAAACTTTTAATATAAAAATACAATTTGAAAAAGGTACTTTCAATTCATAGTCTGGATAGGGTTTTGACAAGACAAGATTTACCTAGATTTTAAAATTTACAAAAAAAAAATTCACAATTTAAAATACCAATATTGATTAGGTTATGGAGCAGTCATTTGAATACATTAATAGTACATAAATAAATCAACCTAAATTTGGGACATACACAATTAGATTTAAATAGTTAGGTGGGACAAATATATAATATTACAAAAGGTAGCTTTAGTGGGGATTGGATTTGTTTTGGCAGACTTAGGCAAATTTAAGACTAGCTTTAAATTTTTGGCAAGGCATATTTGGAAATTTTTGTTTTCAGTCATTTGGGTGAGTGTAAGTGTAAATTAGGGGGAAGTACAATTATCAGCTCTGATGAAAATTCACATACACATTAACTATTAAATCTCTGCACCAAAGTCACCTTAAACCAGCAAATATTAGAGGCTACAAGACTAGAAAAATACGCTGGGCCTCATCTTCAGTAACAACGACGCTCTGATACGTAATATAACTGTATCAAAGACAATACACTCAGACCACAACATAATAGAGGTACAGACATGTATGTACAGGGCTACTGACCAGCAAAATGTGATCAGTCATGAAAGTTTCTTCACAAAATTCAATTTCAATAATAAAAAATACAATGGGGGTCAAGTAAACCATGTCCTAAACGAAACAAGCTGGAAAGATATCCTAAACAACACGGTTCCGAACATTTGCCTAGAAAAAATAAACTCTGTGGTTCTTGAGATCTGCTCAAGACACATTCCATTAAGAAAAAGAAAAAGAAGATGTAAACTACAAAGAGAGAGATACCCCATATACAGACGAAGGCGAAGAGTCACAGAGCTGCTGAGAGGGGCAAAATATATCTGAAATACGAAGGGAGGCACTAGTCAATGAAATTGCAAATATCGAACTTAAGCTGAAGGAATCTTACAGGAGACAAGAATTATAGAGAGAACTAAAATCCATAAAGGAAGTTGAAAAAAATATTTCTTCTCTTATACCAAATCTAA